GGTGTACCAAGCGACACATTACCCATAATGTATCGTGTATGTATGTGATGTGTGTATGCATGTGTATATGTATGTATGTACAGTATGCATGTGTATACTATGTGTGTGTACATATAGAGTATAAATTTTACCAGACATCTTCACCCTCTGGCCCTACCTCCCATCACCAAGGTCTCCTTGTCCCTCGACGCTCCCCACAACAATGGAAAAAGAAACAAAAGCTAATAAGATAAAACACACAAAAGTGTTTTAAGTGGTATTGTTCACCATATATGTGAAGCAGCATCACCCTCAGATTACATACACAGTATACAACATTACAAAATACCTCCAACAATACTGGAATTATTGTATTTGACGAATAACAAATTATCTTCACGTAATTAGTTCCGCAAGTAGAGTAGAACAGTTTATCAGTGGACCGCATGAGAACAGGTAAGAATCAGATAAAACTGGCCCATACATTATATCCAATTTCCTCCATCGGTGAAGAGTCAGTCAAGTGATATTTTTCAGTTGGTGAAAGGACAATGACAGTAAAGTTACTGTCACTACCACAAACAGGGAACATAGTAACACCTTAAATCTGGTGTTGAGCAGTTGTTGTATGTGGCACCACACACTCCCATAAGTCCAGGATCTGTGACATGTAGGCACCACCACACACTCCCATAAGTCCAGGATCTGTGACATGTAGGCACCACCACACACTCCCATAAGTCAGGATCTGTGACATGAGCACCACCACACACCTCCCATAAGTCCAGGATCTGTGACATGTGAGCACCACCACACACACTCCCATAAGTCCAGGATCCGTGACATGTGAGCACCACCACACACTCCCTTAAGTCCAGGATCATGACACGTAAGCACCACCACACACTCCCTTAGTCAGGATCCTGCTGACAGTCTGGGTAAGTCATTCTCGACTGAGTATCCATGGACACCAACACCTCCATACCACCACCACAACTCGGAGGAACATCACCCTCTCTCTCACAACTCAGCACCACTACTTGTACCCTCTGCCTACAGCCTCAGCCACATCTACACAAGTGACCACAAGTGATTGAGCTGCCCAACTACCTCCACCCACTTGTTTACACATTCACCAATTATCGCCGCCTACATCATTCTTTTCCTCTTAAGCGTAATAACAATGCTAAGGTGTTTACAATTTCTTTTTGTTTAATTAAATTATTATAGCGTTATGTCTTAAAATACAATAAGTTGTGTTTTGTAGTCTTCGTGGTATACGTTCACCAATTCATCGTGTCTGACATTTGAGTATGATGTTTATGTAAAGTTTCCAAGACTGAGTTTACGATAGTCGCTTACTGTTATATTATGACGACCAAAATAAAGTTGTAAAAACAAATCAAAGTTTATAACTTATTATCAGTCTCCATGTTAAAAGCAACTGTAAGTAACTGGATATATCAGAACTCACCTGGCGGTCAACAGTAAACAAAGCGGTAAACCATCATTCACAACTGCCCTAAAACTTAACTAATTTACGTGCTGCATCTTAACCCAGAATGGAATCTGGTTTTTTCATATAGTAATCTAAGCAATTTGTTTTGAATAATCTAAAATACTTAATTTGGTAACGTCATTACTTAAAACTAATAATAACTCCGTCATAATGTAGCAGACAAATGTTGGGTCTGTTTAATTGAGCCAGTGTTGTGCTGGAGTGTGATGGAGTTTGTGACCGTGAACGTAGTCAATGAACGCGTACAGTATGTTTGACTATGGCCTTAATGCTATTATTTCCTTGAAGATAAGATTTCTCAACAACAAACTCATCTCTAATATTACTGGTAAATATAATGAAATATTTGTAACAATAGCAGCAGTTTTCTTACCGATATTGATGTATACTTGTTACTATACAAATCGGTTTTTAGCATGATGAAGAAGTGAAAGAGGATTCCAAGCCCAGCAGTCCATTAAGGACAGTGTAGAGACAGCACTCGATGGCCTTACACTTCTTAAATCAAATGGACACCTTTATAAAGCTGGGTGGCTCTGGTGCCCTGATCGAAGGTTCGACCCCAAAACATAATTATAGCATAAGATAGTAAAGAAACCGAAACAAAAAGCAAGTCTTTTAGAATCTGTGTATAGAGATATTATAGTGCCTTCACCTTCACAATTCCTAAGAATAATGAAACCAAACAAATTTTTATAATAGAGGAAAACAAACTTATCACTGCAAGTATATTTATTCTAAATAATGTTATATTCAGCAGTCAATATAATTAGCACTGTATAGGTACATTGACGGTACCTTCTACAACACAACTCTAAGCACCAACAGCTGATGTTCTATTAACAACCAGTATAAAAAGCCTAATATCAATGTATGTGTATATATTGAAAAATATATATATAGCAGAGGATTATATAATAATACATTGACTAATGTATACAGTTATTTTATTCAGTACCAAAATGAAATTTGGTAGCCAGGAACAAACTGTCAAATGTTCGCAAACTGTTTCTTATCATGTAAAAAAAGAAAACAAAACAAAAACCCACTGCAGCTTATTCAAAATAGTTTGAAAACTAAGAGTTTGACACAAAACATTATATACCAGTTTATTTAATATACAACAGAATAATCATGTATCTTATTGAGTCAGGTAAAACTAAGTATGGAAGATCTGGTCCCAATTGGTTGAAAATTCACACACAATACAAAAACTTTCAGGACCATCAGCCTTGAACCTCAAGTTAAAACAATCTTGATCAGACTGGACATTCAGCCTTGAAAAGGTAAAAGCTGAACCATAGAGACAACCTTTGAGACACTCAGCCCTTAAACCTGAAGAAGAAGAAGTCACGATCTCGTTTTATGTTACAGCAGGCGAGGCGACCTCCTGCGTTACCCGTGGTTAAACTTCCTGCGTTCCCACCGGCCTAGGTCATCCTGCCCTGCGTGGACCTATGACAGAAAGAATGGTAAGTGATTTTTGCGACAGAAACAATGGTAGGTGACGTTTGCTATAGTACCTCCTCTTGCTGGGGACTCGTAACACTAAGGACTCGATACACTAAGGCCTCCATACACAGAGGACTCGAAACACTAAGGACTTGAAACACTAAGGACTCGCTAAGGACCTCGAAACACTAAGGACTCGAAACACTAAGGACTCTAAACACTAAGGACTGAAACACTAAGGACACCATGCACTAAGGATTCGATACACTAGTAACCTATTGTGGTGTTTAAACCATTTCCAACTCATGGCACCAAAATTGCTTTGATTCACTACTATAGCTCCATGATTCACTATTATAGCTCCATGATTCACTACTATAGCTCAATGATTCACTACTATAATACCATGATTCACTACTATAGCTCCATGATTCACCACTATAGCTCCATGATTCACCACTATAGCTCCATGATTCACCACTATAGCTCCATGATTCACCACTATAGCTCCATGATTCACTACTATAGCTCAAAGATTCACTACTATAATATCATGATTCACTACTATAGCTCCAGGATTCACTACTATAGCTCAATGATTCACTACTATAGCTCAATGATTCACTACTATAATACCATGATTCACTACTATAGCTCCATGATTCACTACTATAGCACAATGATTCACTACTATAGCTCAATGATTCAATACTATAATACCATGATTCACTACTATAGCTCCATGATTCACCACTATAGCTCCATGATTCACCACTATAGCTCCATGATTCACTACTATAGCTCAATGATTCACTACTATAATACCATGATTCACTACTATAGCTCCATGATTCACTACTATAGCTCAATGATTCACTACTATAATACCATGATTCACTACTATAGCTCAATGATTCACTACTATAGCACAATGATTCACTACTATAGCACAATGATTCACTACTATAGCTCAATGATTCACTACTATAGCTCAATGATTCACTACTATAATACCATGATTCACTACTATAGCTCCATGATTCACTACTATAGCTCAATGATTCACTACTATAGCTCCATGATTCACTACTATAGCACAATGATTCACTACTATAATACCATGATTCACTACTATAGCTCCATGATTCACTACTATAGCTCAATGATTCACTACTATAGCTCCATGATTCACTACTATAGCACAATGATTCACTACTACAGCTCAATGATTCACTACTATAGCACAATGATTCACTACTATAGCTCCATGATTCACTACTATAATACCATGATTCACTTCTATAATACCATGATTCACCACAATAGCTCCATAATTCAATACTAATACCATGATTCACTACTATAGCATCATGATTCACTATTATAGCTCCACGATTCACTACTATAGCTCCATGATTCACTACTATAATACCATGATTCACTACTATAGCATCATGATTCACTATTATAGCTCCACGATTCACTACTATAGCTCCATGATTCACTACTATAATACCATGATTCACTGCTGTAATACCATGATTCACTACTGTAATACCATGATTCACTACTATAGCATCATGATTCACTACTATAGCTCCATAATTCAATACTATAATACCATGATTCACTTCTATAATAATACATGATTCACCATTATAGCTCCATAATTCAATACTATAATACCATGATTCACTTCTATAATACCATGATTCACCACAATAGCTCCATAATTCAATACTATAATACCATGATTCACTACTATAGCATCATGATTCACTATTATAGCTCCACGATTCACTACTATAGCTCCATGATTCACTACTATAATACCATGATTCACTACTGTAATACCATGATTCACTACTGCATGATTCACTACTATAGCATCATGATTCACTACTATAGCTCCATAATTCAATACTATAATACCATGATTCACTTCTATAATACCATGATTCACCATTATAGCTCCATAATTCAATACTATAATACCATGATTCACTACTTTAGCTCCATGTTTCACTACTACAGTACCATGATTCACTAGTATAGCATCATGATTCACTACTTTAGCTCCACGATTCACTACTATAGCTCCATGATTCACTACTATAATACCATGATTCACTACTATAGCTCCATGATTCACTACTATAGCTCCACAATTCACTACTATAATACCATATTCACTACTATAATACCATGATTCACTACTATAGCATCATGATTCACTACTATAGCTCCATAATTCAATACTATAATACCATGATTCACTTCTATAATACCATGATTCACCATTATAGCTCCATAATTCAATACTATAATACCATGATTCACTACTATAGCATCATGATTCACTACTTTAGCTCCATGATTCACTACTATAGTACCATGATTCACTACTATAGCATCATGATTCACTACTTTAGCTCCACGATTCACTACTATAGCTCCATGATTCACTACTATAGCACCATGATTCACTACTATAGCTCCATGATTCACTACTATAGTACCATGATTCACTACTATAGCTCCATGATTCACTACCATAGCTCCAAATATACCTCCTATGTCATCAATGACTTATCACTCTGGGCCCCCAAGACCCACCTCACCACTAGGGGCCCCCAGGACCCACTCACTGCTATGGCCCCAGGACCCACTCACCACTATGGCCCCCAGGATTCACTACTCATCACTATGGCCCCAGGACCCACTCACCACTATGGCCCAAGTACCCACTCACCACTATGGCCCCAGGATTCACTACTCATCCACTATGGCCCCAGGACCCACTCACTGCTGTGGCCCCAGGACCCACTCACCACTATGGCCCCAGGATTCACTACTCATCACTATGGCCCCAGGACCCACCTCACCACTATGGCCCCAGGACTCACTCGCCACTATGGCCCCAGGATTCACTACCATCACTATGGCCCCAGGACTCACTCGCCACTATGGCCCCCAGGACTCACTCGCCACTATGGCCCCAAGTACCCACTGCCACTATGGCCCCAGGATTCACTACTCATCACTATGGCCCCAGGACTCACTCGCCACTATGGCCCCAGGACTCACTCGCCACTATGGCCCCAAGTACCCACTCACCACTATGGCCCCCAGGACCCACTCACCACTATGGCCCCAAGTACCCACTGCCCAGGACTCACTCCACTATGGCCCCCAGGATTCACTACCATCACTATGGCCCCAGGACTCACTCGCCACTATGGCCCCAGGACTCACTCGCCACTATGGCCCCAAGTACCCACTCACCACTATGGCCCCAGGACCCACTCACCACTATGGCCCCCAGGACCCACTCACCACTATGGCCCCATCTCCCAGGATTCACCATCACTATGGCCCCAGGACTCACTCGCCACTATGGCCCCAGGACTCACTCGCCACTATGGCCCCAAGTACCACTGCCACTATGGCCCCAGGATTCACTACCATCACTATGGCCCCCAGGACCCACTCACCACTATGGCCCCAAGTACCCACTCACCACTATGGCCCCCGGGATTCACTACTCATCACTAGGGCCCCAGGACCCACTCTCACTGCTATGGCCCCCAGGACCCACTCCCACCACACTGGCCCCAGATTCACTACTCACTATGGCCCCCAGGACCCACTCACCACTATGGCCCCAAGTACCCACTACCACTATGGCCCCCAGGATTCACTACTCATCACTATGGCCCCAGGACCCACCTCACTGCTATGGCCCCCAGGACCCACTCACCACTATGGCCCCAGGATTCACTACTCATCACTATGGCCCCAGGACCCACTCACCACTATGCCCCAAGTACCCACTCACCACTATGGCCCCCAGGATTCACTACTCATCACTATGGCCCCAGGACCCACCACCACTATGGCCCCGGACTCACTCCGCCACTATGGCCCCAGGATTCACTACTCATCACTATGGCCCCAAGACTCACTCTCCGCTAATTATGGCCCTGCACTCACTCCCACTATGGCCCTCCACCACTACTATGCCCAGCATTCACTACTCATCACTATGGCCCCAGGACACTCACTCACCACTATACCCCAGGACTCACTCACTCACTCACTACTATGCCCCCAGTACTCACTCACCACTACTATGCCCCCAGGACTCACTCACTCACCACTATGTCCCCAGGATTTACCACTATGGCCCCCAGGATTCATCACTATGGCCCCCAAGACTCACCACTATGGCCTTGCCGATGATGGAGCTGTTGCCATTGAAGGCCACGTGGCTATCGCTTACCTCCAGCCCCCATCCTCCTCCACCACGATGTTGCCAAGGTCACCCACGTGTCTGCCAGGGAGGAGAGCAACAAGGTCAGGGAGGAGAGCAGCAATGTCAGGGGGAGAGCAACAATGTCAGGGAGGAGAGCAGCAATGTCAGGGAGGAGCAGCAATGTCAGGGAGGAGAGCAACAATGACAGGGAGGAGAGCAACAATATCAGGGAGCACAAGTAGAGAGAGCACAATGTCAAGAGCACAATGTGAGAGACACAATGGGGAGAGAGCAACAATGTGGGGAGGAGAGCAGCAATGTGGGAGGAGAGAGCAATGTCAAACAAGGAGAGCAACAATGTCAGGGAGGAGAGCAGCAATGTCGGGGAGAGAGCAGCAATGTAGAGGAGAGCACAATGTGGGAGGAGAGCAGCAATGTCAGGGAGGAGAGCAACAATGTCAGGGAGGGAGAGCAACAATGGAGGAGAAGCAAAACAAATGTCAGGAGGAGAGCAGCAATGTTGTGAGAGAGCAAATGGGGGAGGAGACACAATGTGGGAGGAGAGCAAATGGAGGAGAGCAACAGAGGGCAGGGAGGAGAGCAGCAATGTCAGGGAGAGAGACAATGTCAGGAGAGAGCACAATGCAGGAAGCAATCAAGGAGACACAAGTCAGAGCAACAATGAAGGAGACCAAAAAGAGCAACAATGTCAGGAGGAGAGCAACAATGTCAGGGAGGAGAGCAGCAATGTCAGGGAGGAGAGCAGCAATGTAGGGAGGAGAGCAGCAATGTCAGGGAGGAGAGCAGCAATGTCAGGAGGAGAGCAACAATGTGGAGAGAGCAACAATGTCAGGGAGGAGAGCAACAATGTCAGGAGGAGAGCAACAATGTCAGGGAGGAGAGCAACAATGTCAGGAGGAGAGCAACAATGTCAGGGAGGAGAGCAGCAATGTCAGGAGGAGAAAATGTCAGGGAGGAGAGCAGCAATGTCAGGAGGAGAGCAACAATGTCAGGGAGAGAGCAACAATGTCAGGGAGGAGAGCAGCAATGTCAGGGAGGAGAGCAGGAGAGCAACAATGTCAGGGAGGAGAGCAGCAATGTGGGAGAGAGCAAAAATGTCAGGAGGAGAGCAGCAATGTCAGGAGGGAGCAACAATGTCAGGGAGAGGAGAGAGCAACAATGTCAGGGAGGAGAGCAACAATGGGAGAGAGCAACAATAGGGAGGAAGCACAATATTAGGGAGGAGAGCAACAATGTCAGGGGAGAGCAGCAATGTCGGGGAGAGAGCAGCAATGGGGGAGGAGAGCAGCAATGTCAGAGGAGAGAAAGCAATGTCAGGGAGGAGAGCAACATGTCAGGGAGGAGAGCAACAATGTCAGGGAGGAGACAAATGTCGAGAGCAACAATGTCAGGAGGAGAGCAACAATGTCAGGAGGAGAGCAACAATGTCAGAGGAGAGCACAAAGGGAGGAGAGCAGCAATGTCAGGGAGAGGAAAAGGGAGAGGCAACAATGTAGAGGAGAGCAAAAGTAGGAGAGCAACAATAGAGAAACAATGTGGGAGGAGAGCAGCAATGTCAGGGAGAGAGCAGCAATGTCAGGGAGGAGAGCAGCAATGTCAGGGAGGAGAGGCAATGTCAGGGAGAGACAACAATGTCAGGAGGAGACAGCAATGTCAGGAGGAGACAACAGGGAGAGCAGCAATGTCAGGAGGAGAGCAGCAATGTCAGGAGGAGAGCAGCAATGTCAGGAGGAGCAGCAATGTCAGAGAACAACAATGGGAGAGAGCAAAAACAATGTGGGAGGAGAGCAAGAGAGAGAGCAACAATGTCAGGGAGGAGAGCACAATGTCAGGAGAGAACAATGTCAGGGAGGAGAGCAACAATGTCAGGAGAGAGCAATAGGAGGAGAGCAACAATGCAGGGGAGAGACAAAGGGAGGAGAGCAACAATGTCAGGGAGGAGAGCAACAATGTCAGGAGGAGAGCAGCAATATCGGGAGGAGAGCAGCAATGTCAGGAGGAGAGCAACAATATCAGGAGGAGAGCAACAATGTCAGGGAGGAGAGCAGCAATGTCAGGGGAGGAGAGCAACAATGTCAGGAGAGAGCAGCAATGTCAGGGAGGAGAGCAACAATATCAGGGAGGAAGCAACAACGTCAGGGAGGAGAGCAACAATATCAGGGAGGAGAGCAACAATATCAGGGAGGAGAGCAACAATATCAGGGAGGAGAGCAACAATGTCAGGGAGGAGAACAGCAATGTCAGGAGGAGAGCAGAAAATGTCAGGGAGGAGAGCACAATATCAGGAGGAGAGCAACAAGGTCAGGAGGAGAGCAACAAGGTCAGGAGAGAGCAACAATGTCAGGGAGGAGAGCAACAGTCAGGAGGAGAGCAGCAATGTCAGGAGGAGAGCAACAAGGTCAGGGAGGAGAGCAACAATGTCAGGAGGAGAGCAACAAGGTCAGGAGGAGAGCAAGGTCAGGGAGGAGAGCAACAGTCAGAGGAGAGCAACAATGTCAGGGAGGAGAGCAGCAATGTCAGGGAGGAGAGCAGCAATGTCAGGGAGGAGAGCAGCAATTAGGGAGGAGAGCAACAATGTCAGGGAGGAGAGCAACAATGTCAGGGAGGAGAGCAACAATGTCAGGGAGGAGAGCAGCAATTGTCAGGGAGGAGAGCAACAATGTCAGGAGGAGAGCAGAGTGTGGGAGGAGAGCAGCAGTCAGGGAGGAGAGCAGCAATGTCAGAGGAGAGCAACAATGTCAGGGAGGAGAGCAACAATGTCAGGGAGGAGAGCAGCAATGTCAGGGAGGAGGAGCAACATGTCAGGGAGGAGAGCAACAATGTCAGGGAGGAGAGCAGCAATGTCAGGGAGGAGAGCAGCAATGTCAGGGAGGAGAGCAACAAGGTCAGGGAGGAGAGCAACAAGGTCAGGGAGGAGAGCAACAAGGTCAGGGAGGAGAGCAACAAGGTCAGGGAGGAGAGCAACAAGGTCAGGGAGGAGAGCAACAATGTCAGGGAGGAGAGCAACAAGGTCAGGAGAGAGCAACAAGGTCAGGGAGGAGAGCAACAATATCAGGGAGGAGAGCAACAATGTCAGGGAGGAGAGCAACAAGGTCAGGGAGGAGAGCAACAAGGTCAGGGAGGAGAACAAGGTCAGGAGGAGAGCAACAATGTCAGGAGGAGAGCAGCAATGTCAGGGAGGAGAGCAGCAATGTCAGGGAGGATAGCAACAATGTCAGGGAGGAGAGCAACAATGTCAGGGAGGAGAGCAGCAATGTCAGGGAGGAGAGCAGCAATGCCAGGGAGGAGAGCAGCAATGCCAGGGAGGAGAGCAACAATGTTGGGGAGGAGAGCAACAATGTCAGGGAGGAGAGCAGCAATGTCAGGGAGGAGAGCAGCAATGTCAGGGAGGAGAGCAGCAATGTCAGGGAGGAGAGCAACAATGTCAGGGAGGAGAAACAATGTCAGGGAGGAGCAACAATGTCAGGGAGGAGCAACAATGTCAGGGAGGAGAGCAACAATGTCAGGAGGAGAGCAACAATGTCAGGGAGGAGAGCAACAATGTCAGGAGGAGAGCAGCAATGTCAGGGAGGAGAGCAACAATGTCAGGAGGAGAGCAACAATGTCAGGGAGGAGAGCAGCAATGTCAGGGAGGAGAGCAGCAATGTCAGGGAGGAGAGCAGCAATGTCAGGGAGGAGAGCAGCAATGTCAGGGAGGAGAGCAGCAATGTCAGGGAGAGAGCAGCAATGTCGGGGAGGAGACAACAATGTGGGAGGAGAGCAACAATGTCAGGGAGGAGAGCAGCAATGTCAGGGAGGAGAGCAAAATGTCAGGGAGGAGAGCAACAATGTCAGGGAGGAGAGCAGCAATGTCAGGGAGGAGAGCACAATGTTAGGAGGAGAGCAAATGTCAGGGAGGAGAGCAGCAATGTCAGGGAGGAGAGCAACAATGTCAGGGAGGAGAGCAACAATGTCAGGGAGGAGCAGCAATGTCAGGGAGGAGAGCAGAAATGTCAGGAGGAGAGCAAATAGGAGGAGAGGCAGCAATGTCAGGGAGGAGAGCAGCAATGTCAGGGAGGAGAGCAGCAATGTCAGGGAGGAGAGCAGCAATGTCAGGGAGGAGAGCAAAAATGTCAGGGAGGAGAGCAACAAATGTCAGGGAGGAGAGCAGCAACAAGCTAGGGAGGAGAGCAACAATGTCAGAGGAGAGCAATGTCAGGGAGGAGAGCACAATGTCGGGGAGGAGAGCAGCAATGTCAGGGAGGAGAGCAGAAGTCTGTGGAGGAGAGCAGCAATGTCTAGGGAGAGAGCAAATGTCAGGGAGGAGAGCAACAATGTCGGGAGAGAGCACAATGTGGGAGGAGAGCAGCAATGTCAAGGAGAGCAGCAATGTCAGGGAGGAGAGCAACAATGTCAGGGAGGAGAGCAACAATGTATGGAGGAGAGCAACAATGTCAGGGAGGAGAGCAACAATGTCAGGAGGAGAGCAACAAGTTCAATCAAAGGTCAGAAAAATTAGGAAGGTCTGGCATGGCTAGGGTCAAAAAATGTAGGAAGGTACAAGACATTTGAGGTTAAACCAGGTCAATAGAGGTCAATCAAATCGAGCAAACCTACTATTTCTTAATAGAGGTAAAAAAGAGAGGGTCATTTGAGGCTGAATACAGAACGGTGGTTTGAGCTCTGGGATTGAGCTGGGCTCAGGTTGTGAATCGGGATTCCTCGATCCGAGATTTCCTGCGAATTACCCATATTCAGAACATATTTGAACGTCGGATCGGTAATCTGTTGCAATTTCTCCAGTTACGAGCAAGGATTCGAACAGTGAAATTCCAGCCAATTGCCTCTCAGTTACACCATTATGAAAACAAATCACCATCGAGAGTAATGTTTACAAGATTATGGCAGCAACTGTGACTCAAGTTTTTACAGAGGAGGAGAAATCTCTCCTTGCACATCATAAGTTACTTTTGTTACTATAATTTCAAGCAAATTATGATTAAATTATAATGATTTATGGTACCGTGTTACAGCGTGGCTGTGTTGTTATATGATAATAAAGAAATTTATAGAGGAATAACAATTACATACAAATTGTAGATATAATCCAGGACAGGTGTCAGATCGGTTAGGTTTCTTTATCCTCTTTTAACTCCACATTTCCCCTGATTAGTAATGTTAAGAAAAGACTTTCCTTTATTAATACATCTAAATCAAAATGCACTGAGCATTGAATCAATTATAAAGAAAATACATCAAAAAGTTTTCCTAAGAAAATCACTCAAAATAAAGAAGCTTGATCTTCATGGACCCCAATCACGAAAGTGTTGTAATACATAACCATAACTAATTTAGTAACAAAAATATTTCTTACCCGGAAACTATTCGTTGCAAAGAATCTCAAGCTGATGAATAGGAGGTAGAGGTGAACCATAGGCAACAGGTCTGTTAAGTCGATGCTCCATATCACGGAAAATATTAAGGAAATCTCCCTTGCTGAACCAATATCGTTGTCTGAATTGCGTGTCATCATGAAATTTGATAGGATTGTGCCTATCTACCTTCAGTCTTCTCTACAAAATTTCCAATTTGACGATATCGCCGAAAAGCGCACTCTGTTAAAATTCATGTTGACTTCCTATCTTGAATGACGGGTCGACAGCTAAACCTGCCTACATGCTGGATTAATGCGAGGATCGATAATTCCGATCTCAAACCGGGTTTGAATCTTTGTGTTGGCTCAAGCCAATCTTAGCTCGATCCTTGGTTTAAGCCTTCCTGCGGTTTCAAACCAGCGTTCTGAATTCGGGCCTTAGGATTCAAACAGAGGGGAATAGGTCATCTAGGGTTAAATTAGAACAGTACTGGTCATCTGGGGTCCTATCTAACCTAACCTTACTTAACCTAACCTAATTTAGCCTAACCTAATCTAACCCAAATTAACCTAATGTAATCTATCCTAATAAACCATCCTAACCTAACCTAACCTAACCTTTCATCTCTCTGTCTATCAATATTCTTTCACTTTTAGGTCATATGTGTAGCTGTAAAACCCTTTGATTGACCTGAATGATCTGTGACTCACCTGAAACTCACCTAAAGGGCCTGTGTCTCTACGAAAGGACCTGTGACTCAACTAAAGGACCTGTGACTCAACTAATGGACCTGTGACTCAACTGAAAAACCTGTGACTCACATGAAACTCATCTAAAAGGCCTGTGACTCGACTGAAGGACCTGTGACTCGACTGAAGGACCTGTGACTCAACTGAAGCACCTGTGACTCACATTAAATTCATCTAAAAGGCCTGTGACTCAACTGAAGGACCCGTGACTCCAGTGAACTAAACTAAAAGATCTGTGACTCCCCTGCAACTTCAATGAAGAACCTGTGACTCGCATGAATGATCTGTGGCTCATCTAAAGGAGATGCGACTCATTTAGATTCACCTGGTAAAGTTGCTGGGACTCACCTGGTAGAACTACAGGGACTTACCCGGTAAAGTTGCTGGGACTCACCTGGTAGAACTGCTAGGACTCACCTGGGAGAGCTGCTGGGACTCACCTGGGAGAGAAGCTGGGACTCACCTGGGTGAGCTGCTGGGACTCACCTGGGAGATCTGCTAGGACTCACCTGGGAAAGCTGCTAGGACTCACCTGGGAGAGCTGCAAGGATTCACCTGGGAGAGCTGCTAGGACTCAACTGGGAGAGTTGCTGGGACTCACCTGGGAGATCTGCTAGGACTCACCTGGGAGAGCTGCTAGGACTCACCTGAGAGAGCTTCTAAGACTCACCTGGGAGAGTTCCTAGGACTCACCTGGTGTTCCTAGGACTCACCTGGGAGAGCTGCTAGGACTTACCTGGTAGAGCTGCTAGGACTCACCTGGGAGAGCTGCTAGGACTCACCTGGGAGAGCTTCTAGGACTCACCTGGTAGAGCTGCTAGGACCTCCGTGGGTTTCACTGTAGGGGTTAAAGTGACCCCCGGCAGTACTACAGCGGTTGTTTCTCACACTGTGCTCGTGGACGTGGAACCCGTGAATACGTCCTAGCTGTGGGGGGACACTGTGTTAGCTGTGCTCTGTTAGCTGTGAAGGACACTGTTAGCGGAGTGCTGTGCTCTATTAGCTGTAAAGGCCACTGTGTTAGTCGTCAAGACTACTGTGTTAGCTGTGTGCCTTGCTGTATTAGCTGTGGAGGACACAATGTTACCTGTGTGTGTGCTAGCCACATGTTGTGTTAGCTATGTTCTGTGTTATGTGTGCACCATACTAATACAGGCGTATGCTGTGTTAACTTCTATTCATAATAAGCATTACAATCAGCATTAATAAAAAACAACAATCCTCTGGTATTCTTCGTCACACATTTATCAAGTAATAATCTCATTCTATCTTTCGTTAACCTTATAATATATTCATCAACTAGTTGTTTTATTGTTTCATCAGACAGCAGAGACCTTGCTGATGCTCTGAGAATCAACGTATAGGAAATATGGATAACACTCTCTCTTACCGAGACGTCAAAGCCAGTCAAATCCAAATCGAAGTAGACAGGGCCCTTACGATCCTTCTGTAAGATTAAAGAGGTAAAAGTTAGAATAGTGAAATATCCTTTATGGGTAGTAGTAGTAGTAGGTCTG